GGTCACCGGCAGCACCAACGAGACGCTGCGGGCGGGCGGACCCGAGCGGGGGCGACCGGCACGCAGCCTAGAAGGTCCCTTTGGAGGACTTTGCAGTCGGGAGCAGTGAGCATGCGCAGACGCCAGAGGGCGCTCCTGGCCAGGGGCTGAGAAAGCCCGGCGGGGGGGGAAGGGCGGAGCCTGCGGCGGAGGCGGGGCGCAGAGGCGGGGCTGAGGACACCAAAGTTGGGGGTGCTGCAGCGAGCGAAAAGGGGATGGAGGGTTGGGCGAGAAACGAAGGGAAGGGGAGAGGGTCTGAAGGGACCTGAAGGGAGACAGGCAAGACGATGTAACCCGGAAGAGGGCTGAGGGGAGGGGAAGGGGCCAGGGGGACCACTGGAGACAAGGGGGAGAGAACTGAAGGGAAACACGCGGAGGGGCGGGGCTGGGAGACCAGAGGGAGAGTTTGGGGAGACCTGGGAACTGCAGAGGGACAGGGCTGCGCGCCCGGCGAGTCGTTTCCATTCAGCGAGTGGTTGAGAACCCAGCGTAAACGCGGCTCCCGGCGTCTACTGGATGCCCGCCGGGCGCAGTCCCAGCCTGAGCCCCTGCACCTGCATGGCAGAGGCCGTGGAGCCCGCACATTTCCACCCTGAGATCCCACAAATGTGGTTTTGTTTTGCTTTCACCCCCGCCCCCAATCTGCAGCTCCAGGCCCCTCCCTGAGCCGCCCCTCTCCACCAGCAGGGGAGGGGCGGGCGGGGACCCTGGGGCGTGGGAGAGGAAGGGCCGCGCTGTTAGTGAGGGCGAGGGCGGGGGCGGGCGCTGACGCCTTCAGGTGGGGTCTGGGTGAGGGGCCTGACGGCAGAGTCGGTCCAGAACTGCCCGGACAGCGACGCACAGCGATGGTGAGACCCCAGCCAAGTCCTGGTCCACTCCCCTAAAATCCCAGCAGCCAGACCCGGAAGCCCAGCGGACTCGGGAAACACCGCGTCCCAGCCCCGGAGGCGGGCCCGTCAAGTTCTAGAAAAGCTTTGGGGATCTACCGAGAGGGCACTCGGCGGGACCGGGCACTCCCCTTCCTTCTCCCTCCCACTGTCCCCGGAAATCTTCCCATCCCTCCACCTCCCCAAGCCCTAAGTCCTCTCGGGCTCTGCCCTTCAGGGCAGCGGGGGTTGGGGATGTCCAGCTCCTGAGCCCTCTTGCACCTGCACAGAGGCAAGACAAGGGATTCAGCTCTGTCCCTTATCTGAGGTGGGAGGGGGAAGGGAATTATGGAGGGAATCCAGCTGGCCTGTTAGTAAGGGTGTCCCAGTGCTAGGTGGAGGTGGAGTTTGGCTGCCTTTGGGGAGATGGAAGGGTGAGGAGTAGAGGCCTGATTTCTGAGCGTTGTTTCTGTGTTGGACAATTCCATGCGAACTAGAGCTAAAATGGAAGAGGGTGCAAGTCATTCTCCTGGGGCCCCAGATGCTCCCTCCTTTCTTGCTGCCTGGAGCAGGGGCAGTGCTGTTAGTGGCTACTCCGGGTGTGAACAGCCCATCCTGGCCACCTTCCACAGGAAGCCTGACCTGAGGGACAGAAGAGGAAGGAAGCAGGTGGGTGTGAAGCCAGGAAGGAGGGAAGGGTGGCACAGGACATTTGAAGTGGGAGTGGAGGGGCAGTGCTGAGGAGGGTTCAGTGCTGGGAAGCAATATTAACTGTTACGGTCCAAACCCTCACCTCAACCCCAATACAAATCCCTGGCCCAGTCTTACAGAGGCCAGGGATTTGATGATGACCCTCCTGTGCCTAGCTACTTTGAGAATCTATCCCAGCTCTCAGAAGCCAGATCCCCCTAAGGCTTCCCTTAGCCTCTGGTATGATCTTGGGCAAGTTAATTGTTTCAACTGTCAAGTGGAATAAAAGAAATTACCTCATAAGATTATTGTGAGGATGGACTATATCATATAATATTCTAGAAGAGTCCTTGGCACAGAGTAAATATTATTAAAAAGTTTGCTCTGGTTATTTTTTTCTCCAGGGTTTGTATCTGCCCAGAGCTCTGATCCCATTCTACCTGGTTTCATCTTTGTCTTACCCACTATGAGCTCCTTGAGGGCAGGGCTCATCTCTTCTCTACATTAATAGTCACTTTTTTTTTTTTTTTTTTTTTTGAGATGGAGTCTCACTCTGTCGCCCCGGCTGGAGTGCACTGCACTGCAACCTCTGCCTCCCAGGTAGGTTGGAGCGATTCCCCTGCCTCAGCCTCTCTAGTAACTGGGATTACTGGCACACATCACCATGCCTGACTTATTTTTGTATTTTTAGTAGAGACGGGGTTTCCCCATGTTGGCCAGGATGGTCTCGATCTCCTGACCTCAGGTGATCCGCCTGCCTCAGCCTCCCAAAGTTCTGGGATTACTGGCCTGAACCACTGTGCCAATAGTCACTTCTTACCCCCAAGATATTGTAGTCATATCAGGAGTTGCCGAGAGGAAAACTGAAGAGATGAACTTAGATTATCCAATGCAATTGCTGCTATATATAAAAGTGCAAGGTGTTCCTGTCCTCGAGGAAGTTATAGATGAGGAGCCGAGAGAGATGCAGGGAGCAGAGAAAAACATTAGGTGCTAAATCTTGGGGCACTGAATCTTGGGGCACTGCTTGCTTCAGTTGCTCAGGGAAGGGAGAGCTGGTATGGTCACAGAGGCTGAGAAGGGTTTCCTGGTAAGGAGATCCTTTAACCAGAGGCCCAAGCCTATGTAGCTGGAAAAACTGGACCCATGTAGGAAGTTGTGAAGAAGCACGCTCACTGGGGCTGTGGGTGCATGGTGAGAAATGGTGGAAGTTAAGGCTGATGAGGTAAGGAGAGAGGGGCCAGCCTGCCTAAAGGCCCACCAGAAAGGCAAAGTGCCCTCTCCTTCTACCATGGGCCTCCGCTTACCTCCATCCCAATCTTGGGAGACCCCAGAATTTTGAACTTCAGAAATTCTGGACCAAAAGACATGACCTCAAGACCTGGCTCCGCCACTTACTGGCTGTTTGACCTCAGGCATGTTACTCATGGCCTGATCCTCAGTTGGGCCATCTGTAAGACGGGGATAATACTACCTAAGTCATTTGGGTGTTGGGAGGACTGAGGGAAATAATACCTATAAAGCACTTAACACTTCCTAGCACATTGTAACGGCCTAATACATGAAGGTGTTCTTATTGTTTTGGGGTAGCCTTTGCCACTAATGTCAGTGCAGAACTCTGGCTGGCCCCACCAAGAGGACAGCCCCAAGCCCCAGGATCCAGGTCCGCCAGCCAACTCAGACAGTGACTCAGGCCACCTGCCGGCGGAGGACCCTGAGGACACCTCTGCTCAGGTAGTAGAGTTGTGCCCTTCCTCTGAGACCAACATATCCTCTATCCTGTGGAGTGGCCACCTTTTTCCACTAACCTGGAGGTAGTTTCACTTCGTGCCTAATCTCTTACTGCCTTTCTCTCTTTTCAGGAATTCCTGTCTCTGCACCTGCTGAGAACATGGGGTTTTGACTTTAAACTCACTCACATGAATATCCATTACCTCTCCTAGGGAATCTGTGTTGTCAAAGCAGACTCTAGGGTCTTTGGCCCCAAGGCGTGAAGGGGGTTAAGAAGGGAAAGCATAAGAAGGGAAGCTGTTTTGGGGTGTGGGGCCTCCCCAGCCTCCCTCAAGGAAGACCACAGATACAGGCATCAGTCAGCTATCCTTGCGCTCAGTGAAGATCTGGAAGGAGGACCCTCCCAAATGGAGGGCATGCTTAGAAGCTGCTCTAGATTGGAGAAGAGGTGGCAATGACTAGGGGGAAAGGAGAAAGAAAAACCTAGTTTCACTCCTCCCCTTCTTCCATGTCTCCTCAGGGTCCTTCAGTTCTGAGCTTGGGTTCCCTTTGCCTGGACACCAACCAAGCCCCCAAATGGACTGGGCTTCGGACCCTCCTGCAGCAACTCCCTCCACAGGACATTGATGTGGGTCTCCTCTCCCCATCTTCCCTCTCTTGCCTCTCCCTGCCCCTCTCTTTTCTTACTGTGGGAAGAACCTCAGTCCAGAAGTTAGGGGATGTGGATTTAAGGCCCAGCTATGCCACTGGTTGGGGTGTCATTCTCCCCCTGCCTGAGTTTTCACGTTGGCAGTAACAATAGCGGGTGCAGTAACATCTGCTCTGCCCACCACAATGCTTAGTTCAAGAGCAAATGAGAAAATGGACATGAACGACTTTTGAAACGGATAATGGAATGTACAAATGTAGAGAGTATGGTTGTTACATATTTATTGAGGGTCTACATGTGCCCAGCCTAAAGGCTTACAATTCAATTGGGGAGGCAAGACAGGAGTATATGAAATAATTTGAGGAAATGCAAGAATTGGAAGTGATACTGAGCTCTTCGCTCACTGGGAGCAAGGACCTAATGGTGACAGGGCTGAGTGCTGTGGGCCTGTCAGGACCTGATTGATGACCATTCCTAGGGGGGCAGGGGGAGACTCAGGTGGCCTTTCCTGAGCTCCTTTCCTTCTTCTTCGATTTCCCCTTCTATGCCATTATCTCTGGCATCTCCCTGAGGTTCTACAACGTTTCTCTGACCCAGCAGCCAAGCCTTTCTTCCTCCAACCAATGCTCAATCTTTCCTGCTGGAGCTCTCCCAGTAACTGTAGAGGACTGTTTCTGCAGGAGCACTACTGCCTGGCCCTTGGGGAGGAGGAGCGGGCCGAGCTGCGGCTCTTCTGTTCCAGGCGGAAGCAGGAGGCCCTGGGACAGGGGGTAGCTCGTCTGGTGCTTCCCAAGCTTGAAGGACACACCTGTGAGAAGGTCTGTAGCACCCCTCCCCTCAAGTTCCCCTTCCTCTATTTGCCCTCTCATTTCTGGAGAAGGGGCTAGCTTCTGGAACTCTGGTTGGGAAACAGGAAAAACAGAAACCAAGTTTGGGAGCTCTTGGTGTAGGTTGCAGTGGATGTGGGCTTGCTAGGGTATGATGAGAACAGGTTGGGATCAGATTGCAAGAGCAAGGAGGGAAGTTAGGACAGTAGTGCCTACTCGGGCCAACTCAGCACCTCCCCTCTGACAGTGTAGGGAGCTGCTGAAGCCAGGAGAGTACGGAGTGTTTGCAGCCCGGGCAGGGGAACAGCGTTGCTGGCACCAGACTTGCTTTGCCTGCCAGGCCTGTGGCCAGGCCCTGATAAACCTCATCTACTTCTACCATGATGGACAACTTTACTGCGGCCGCCATCATGCAGAGTTGCTGCGCCCGCGCTGCCCGGCTTGTGACCAGGTACAGCCTGGAGGGGAGGAACTGGGGGTCTGCCCAGGGTCCAGAGTGGCAGGATACAAAGGAACACTCTCCTGGGCCACAGTTTCTCACAGTATCAGGGAGTGGGGAGAAGTAGGAACCAGCCTGGGCAAGTTCACTGTGTTCTGACTTGAGCTCTGGGCATGTGGGACCCGGTGCCCTTCTGCCTGTGGCCTCCCCCACTGCAGAGGTCCTCAGATGTTCTTGGAATGACAGAATTTCTCTAGAGCAGGGACTCTTGGACACATGCTCATCTCAGTAGATGCCAAGTGCCCAGTGCTGTGCCTCATCATGCTAGAAATTCCCTTGATGTCAACATAAAAGGAAGCCTGGAGCCCTGGGTTGGGAGTCCAGACCCCCAGGTCGCACTTCGGATTGTGCCACTTGCTAGCTGATATCCTGGCTAAGCCAATCAGTCCTCCCTGTGTCCATGAGTGGCTGAGTGAATCAAATGGGAATGTATGCAGATGTGCTTTAGCGTTAACTGGGTAAAAGGCGTGGTTACTGGATGAATGAATGAGTGAATGAATGAATGAAACGTTCCCCTCTCCCTCTCCCAGCTGATCTTCTCCCAGCGCTGCACCGAGGCAGAGGGACAGCGCTGGCATGAGAACCACTTCTGTTGCCAGGACTGCGCCGGGCCTCTGGGCGGGGGACGTTATGCCCTGCCTGGGGGAAGCCCCTGCTGCCCCAGCTGCTTCGAGAACCGCTACTCGGATGCAGGCTTGAGCTGGGCCGGGGCACTGGAAGGGCAGGCATTCCTTGGTAAGGGAGAGGATGCAGAGCAAAGCGGGAGGGAGCTTGGGCTGGGCTGTGGGGGTTCTCCCGGGCTGGGACCCTCGCCCCGGTCCCACGCCGTCCCGTCCCTCCAGGAGCACCCCCACCGCACCCCCCA